CTTTACCGGTGGTAGAGAGAAACGACTTAATGCTCAGCAACCAGTTGAATGATGGGTAAACACTTGTAATTATTTTTATATCTACTGTAAAATATTACATACCAATTATTTATGAATTTTGACTCAGGGTTTCATGAACAAAGGGTTAAATATCAAATATTATTTTTTCTCATTAAAAACCAAATGAAATAAGAATTGAGAAATTACAAGGGAGAGAATTATGTTACAAGGTTCATTTTTATAGTGAAATTATAAGCTTAGGGTACATAATGAAGAAAAAGGACTTAAAAAATCTGACACAGGACAGATTGAAGGCAAGAGGGACAAAGAAAAACAACACATAAAATAGTGAGCTTGAATAAATGTATGATTGAACAGGAGTTAAGAGAAAATTTATTAAGAGCTACAAGGAAGTTATGGAGAGCCATGATTGCTTACACCTTGAGTCGCATTTTCTTTTAATTTCTGACAAAAAAGTTTTTTTTGTTTAATGTTTAACTGGATATCAGGATGTTTGCATGAAACAAAATTTGAGTAAAAAAACATTTGTCAAAAAGACAAACACATTGTATACCAATATTATAAAATTTTAAAATATTTTCAACGTTACCTTGTAAAGAAAATAATAACAACAAAGAAAAACTCCGCTATTCTAACAAGCAACTTGAAACTGCCATAAACACCCAATAGAAAGTCCAAGAGCCACTCAAGGTAGAGGGTTAATGTATGAAGTTGTTGTGAAAGAGAAAGCAAGAAGTACATATGGGGATATGTAGGAGAGATCATAGTTGACATGAGACTTGAAGAGATTAAGATTGTAGTGACTGGGGAAGCATCCTCTTGGGAATCTGTTCCATAAATAGCAGTTCTTTGGGTAGAAGCTGTCTGTCTGCCGTACCAATGAAATATGAAGGAAATGGGGATGATTTGACCCTGTGTATGTGGCATGGTGAGTCTTAGCTGTGAAGGTCTGAACTGGTGGAACTAATAAATGTAGCTGATCTGAAAATTTACCATAGAAGTAACAATAAGTTTGCAAGGCTTCATCTGTGGAAAAGGCTTCTTACTATGATGTGTCCTAAATTAGTTTATTAGCTCAGTGGATATGGTCTGTCATGGGTGCTCCAAAACTGTGACCTCTATTCAAACTTGCATCTCTTTTTCTCAAGAAGCCTATCTCAACATAACAGCTGCCTTATCAATTAGGCCACAGAGACAGGCTTCTTGAATAAAAAAAAAAAAAAAAATTCAAAGTTTTTCACTGCAGCCTTGATTTTCTACCCCACTACTTATTTACAATCTCTTCACTTTTCAGCCTTGATGGAGTTCAATATAATTTGTGGACTTGTGGTGGGAAACTTATTCACCAATCTGCAGCCTCTTTCCCATAAACTTGACATTTCCACTATTTCCATTACTTCTATGGCAAATGTTCAAATGAGTGCTTCATTTACCAGTTCAGACTTTCACAGCTAATTCTGCAGTGTTGTCACTCATTTCCTTCAAGCTCCAGAATCTAAGAAAAAAAAAAAGCTGAACATTTTCCGCCCCCAAAAAACTGCTATTTTATGGACGCTTCCTTCAGCACTTCTACAAGTCAAGAGTCAATCGTTATCTATCCTCATAGTCTTTACTTTGTATCACCTCCTCTTCTATCCATATCACAGACCTCATTCAGCTTTTATTGACTGTAATATTCTACCTTGAGTAGCTTTCAAGAGTTTATTGGGTGAAATGATAGTATTAATAAAAAGTTATCAGAGGAATATATTTATACTTAAATAGCAATGATGGTTTATATCTAAAATGAATTAAACACTTTAATCATAAAATACTATTTTTTTTTTTTTTTTACCCTGAAATTGGTAATGGTCTTAGCATTTAGATCACAGCTCTGAAAGTTGACATTTCTTTAACTGTATAGTATTAAAAATTCTGATAAATATTAAGTTTAATTTAAGAAAGATTTAAGTTTTTAAAGTTTTGTTCATAAAAAAGAATAATTTACTTGCTTTTTGTTTAATAATAAATTTAATTTAATCTTTATTGAGTTTAAAAAGAAAAAACAAAACTTGAATAGAAAAATTGAATTTTCTAGGATTTATTTAATACAAGAAATTTTGTATACCATGATGCATTGCAATAATTTCTTTATCTGTCCTGTCAATCATCATTGGAACTCAGGATTGAAATGGTTATAGGTCTATGTCATTACACTTATCACCACATATCAGTTTGACTCAGTTGTTCTCAGGAAGAAACTGTCTAATTTGTGGAACAAATTCCTGAAAGGATGCTTCACTACAATATTAATCTCCAAGTCTAGAGTCAACCATTATCTATCCTACATATCCTCATAATCTGCACTTACATTCAGGAAACTGCCTCATTCAGTAACCCTCTACTTTGAGTGGCTCATAGGCCTTGTATTGGGTGAACACTTTGAAAAGAAAAGTGGCTTGCTACTAGAGCTTCTGTGTCTTCAGAGAAGGCAAGCCAAAAGGTCTAGTTTCTGGTGATCCATCTCTCAGGCAGTATCTCATTTCATTGAGAAGTAATATAGGTGGGCACATACACTAATTGAACTGGGCTGCTTTTGAATTGTTTACAAATGTGTTTGGGTCCCTGCACTAAACCCCACCCAAAAAAGTGCTATATTTGATCTTTTTGGTTAGCTGAATCTAACCCAAGACTAAATAGGAGGTTTGTACCAAGTGGGAGAGGTACAGGCTATCTCAGCCACACAACCAAGCCTTGGAAATTGATACATTATTTTCTTTGACATTTTAATTCATAATTTTGTCACTCCAAGAACCAACTTTTTTCTTATATTACATAGGATCGGTAACTAATTGTAAAACCTAATAATCTACCAATGTTTCTCGCCTTGATGTGCTGACCCACCTACCAGCAAGTGTATTTCTCCTAGCAGATTCAACCGAGCCAGGTAGGTCAGAGGGTAAGGATCAAACTAAACAGGTATCATAGGAAGCCATAGAATAGGGGTTGTGTTGACTTGACAAAGGAGTCAATCTTGATATCAAATTACAACCAACTGGGAATTAGGCACAATGCTGGGGACATGCTAAAGTTACCTAAGCAAATTACTGCTATGATTAGTATTGGCAAATGTAGTTGAATTTTCTGAAGAAAGATTCGTAGTTGTTTTGTGTATGAATGGAATCACTAAGTCAAGCAAATCTGAACAATATTTCCAACATTATAATAGCCAATTCTAAAACTGTCCAGCTAAAATGCAAGTGGCTTGAACTCAATGACCATGGAAGAAAGTTTATTAGTATTTGGAGTTAAAATAGGTGTTTAAAAAAAACACTAAGGTAGTAAAAATCACAAGAGAAACATGACTATTATATTATTATAATTTATGAATATCATATGTGCAAATTTATTATCTATTATACAGAGATCCCCTCAAATTAAACTGATAAAATATTTTAAAAAATATATGCAAATATATTTCATTTGTTAAAATCAAAATGATGATGCAGAGAAATCTCTAAAGAAAGAACAGATTTTTTTTAGCATATATCGATGAGAAAGTTTAGATCGAATTCAGAAGAATGACGTTACAGAAAATGAAATATTAAATTTAATCAAAATTTGGTTCTACTTGCTCATTTTAGGGACTTCAATTTTCTTTTTGTTTCCATAATCAAAGTTGAACAAATGATTAAAAAAAACATGAATAAATAAAACAAGGTGAGTGTGTGTGAAAATCAGGGAAGGAAGATTATGATGACAGTTAAAAAAACAAATGTACAGAGTGAATTAAAAGAAGATAACAGTAAAATTTGTTAAGATAAAATGTAAAAGCATAAATAGAGAGAGAGAGACCATTTGAACTTATGAGAAACAGCATTACAACATTGAATTTTTTTCTCTCATTCTTTCTTTTTGGGTGTATGTCTGTGAGTGGATGGGGGAGGGGAGAGTAGATCCATGGGTGAAGGTTTTATTTAGAATTATCAGCAACACCAAAAATTGGCGCCGTTCACATCAACCAATATCCCAAAACATAAATCTTTAAGAGTTCTTGCTTTCCTTTGCAGCAGCTTTTTAAAAAACGTTAGCAGTGCTCACTTATTTGGTAGGCATGTTCCGAGCAATGTCAGTGTTATGGACAGCCCCTATTCACACTGCACTCAGCAAGCAAGGGAAGAGCAAATAAAATAGATTACATGTGAAGAAATGTTTATTTTGATTACTAGTATTATATATTTTATTGATAAGTGAAAAAGGAAAGGTTGAACAAGAATCCTGATCAAATGTAGTTAGAATTGTCGATAATTAGGTGACTGAAAATGAATCTGGCTACAAGCAAGGCTGGTATTTTTTTTTATCCTTGTTACAGACATTATTTATGTTAAAATGGTCATTCATTTAGCACTAACAAAAATTATGTATATTTATAATATAAATGAATATACAGGGTTTAAAAATCACAATAGAAGATGGTTTCAAAGAAGTGGCATTGATTTTAGCTTTAAGCATCTAAGGAGAAAAAAAAAGATTTACTAGCTTTTATTGCTAAGGACAGTAAGGCTGGAAATGTTTTATTATTATTATTATTATCATCATCATCTCAAAAATCTAAACATTTACCACTTCTTTTCATTGTTAAGGATCATGTATATCGAAATCTAGTGCTTGCTTGCTATGCTTTCTTTCTACCTTCTTGTATGAAAGGTTACGGCCATATCTATCCCAATTTTTTCTTTCTTATTTAGCTTGTGACCAAGATGTGACTATTTAGTGTGCAAAAATTTTGAGTCAAAAAAAATAAAAAAGTAACCATGATTACAAAAAACAAAACAAAAAAAAAAAAAATGAGAAAGATATTGAGACGACGACTTGCAAAAAAAAAAAAAAAAAAATATAAAATGTTTTTAAATGTGGCAGAGTTTGTTTTTGTTTGTTTGTTTGGGATAACAATTCAGGAAAAAAAAATAAAAACAAAAAATAATTAACTTTACATAAGTTTAGATAATTATACAACAGTTTCGTTTCTCGTCATCATCACCACCGATTACCTGCACGCTACTGGAGGCCGAAAACTTACGCATAGATTGTTGGTTACCATTGATCATGGAAGCCGTCCGAGGACCCGTAGTCATGTTGTTGTTATTGTTTCCACTCTGTGTCCCAACTGTGTTCAGACTTGAATTACTATTTCTACTGGAGTCAGTTGCTGATGGAGGAAGGCCAGAATTATGTCCATTCTTTCCCAATGATGGAGAATGGATAGGACTTCGGTCAGCCAAGACGTTAGCCAGAAACATGTTTTGAATCTCAGAATCAAGGCTTGAGGTTTTAGCAGTTGATCCTCCACTGCTGCCAGCAGCAGAGGCTCCTAAGGAGTTATTGTTCGTGCCACCATTGCAGTTGGACGTACCGCTGCGATTATACTTCTCAATACGTTGTCGTTTAAGGTCAATTAGTGTTGTACCGGTCAGGCTTCCTCCAGTTGGGTAACGGGATTCTGAGCGAGGTTTCAACTTGGGAGTTTCATTTGCACTGTTATTAGCTCCAGGCACGTCATTCAAGACTGATGGAATGTTTAACTGGGGTTGTACAGATGTACCAGATGGTTGGGTAACTGTACTACCTGGAGGTTTGCCACTTATGGCTTCTTTCTGCAAAGATGGATCAGCATTTTCCTTACTTTTCTCTTTGGGCCCTGTCGGTGCAGAGGCTTTTGGGATTGTACCTGTGGATCCCTTGGAAGCTGAAATAGAAGAAATAGCAGAGAAAGAACTAGTAGTGGTAGTGGTGGTGGTGGTGGTGGTAGTGGTGGGGGTGGCTTTTGTTGAAGATTTAGAAGTAATTGGTTTTGTGGAGGAAGTGGATTTGGGGACTGTTGATGTTCCCTTTGAATGTCCAGAAACTGAATCTAAGGGGCCGGTTTTCGGTGTGACTAACTTTCCAGTAGTCGTAACTGTTGTAGTCGCTGGAGATTTTGTCTTCTCTCCAACAGATACCGAAGACTTGGTTTCACCTCCAACGGTAGTTTTAGTGTTTGTTGTTGAACCATGTCTAGCATCAACTGGTGACCTCTGTGATGGTATTCCACTGCTGCCTGCCCAAGAAGATGAGGGCGGGGTTGGTATCAGAAGAGAAGATATAACCGTGGTGGGCTGTTTAAGGTGTGCCGACAAATTAGTTCTAGGACGAACACCTTCCCCTAACTCTCGTAAAGGAGGAATCACACGTTTTCCAGGTTCAGGTTGGTGGTTGCCATTCATGTGTGGATGTGGTAGATCAGAGTGAGACTGGATAGCAGGGAATTCGTTGCCATTCATATCATCAAATATCAATTCAACATCATTAACGTTGGCAATTCCAGGCTCCTTCTCTTCTTCATCTTCGTCATCTTCATCCTGGAAAAGGAAATGATAAAAAATATAATAAATTTACAGACAAAAAATGCACAAAAATAAATTTTTGTCACTCTAGTATCTCACACAATAGGCCTTGTACCAGACTCAATGGTGAACATAGGTTATCAGAATAGTCTCACAGGCCATTGCTAATGGAATGAGTTTAATAATCTTCACAGGATACTTCACAATTGTGGCCTTGTACCAGACTAAGGTACCTCAGTGGGGAACATAGAGTACCAAAACTGTCTTATAGGCCATTGCTAGTGTAGAGTCTAATTCATGTTCAAATAATTCAATGAATGATGACAATATATAACATCAAAGAATATTAGAAATGTTGGACAATGAACAGGCCAAAATGTTGACATCAAAACCACAAAGATGAGGATAGCTAGTCTAAACAATTCATGGAATAATGTCAGTACAGACAAACCTCTCATCTATGGACATTACCTCCCACCCCCACCCACTCAATGGACTTTGGATGCAGCAGACAAAATCTGCAGGTAAAAAAAAAAAAAAATCTGCAGGAAAGAAAACTTCCAAATTGTCAGCAATGTATTTCACAATTAGCAGGTTTAGTGGAATGACCTATATTAGTTCTCAAAGTGACCACTTGGTGGCAGCAGGCCTTTCAATTGTAAACAAAGATGGGTGTACAGTGTATAAATTATGATACATTTGCACATGCATGAAAAAGTAGCCGTGAGAAATCTATTATTTTTGTGATTTTGATTAATATATCTAGATTAAGTATATATTTATTTATGCCATATATACATGTTTATAGTATTTACATTATGATCATAACTAGTAGTAGTTACTATAACTATAATGGACTAACCCCTTCCCATTAGTCTGTTGATGAGAGGTTTGTCTGTATTTGCAATTTCAAATAAGACATTTTTTTAAGTTGAGTAAAAATAACTTCTGTATAACACAATTATACATATGGTATGGTCTATAGATACAGTGTCTATTTATTTATGCCATATATACATGTTTATAGTATTTACTGGTAGTTACTATAGTGGTTTTATAACCCAAAAATAATCCTTTCCCATCTATGGACAATCCGCTTTAACTGACCACTTCCCCCCCCATTAGTCCGTGGATGAGAGATTTGACTGTATTTACTCTCCTGAATGGGTAAATATGCCAGTATATGAAATAAAGACCATATCATCAAAACAAAAGGTTTTAAACAACGTGTGGCCCACATAGCCGCTCAACAGTCTAATGGCAGATGATTAAAAAAAGAAGTACTGGAGTATGTAGTGGGTGCCAGATCACAGACACCAGCATTGTTCAATGGCATATTATAGTTGTAGCTGCGATTACAAAGTCTCTACTACAACAAGCATTACAAAAGTGATGATGAGTATTCGTTGGCATCACAAAAGTGTCAAGCGAGTGTTCATTGACATCACAAAACCATATACGGGCAATCGGCTTTAACAGCCCATCCCTCCTCCCTATTAGTCCGTTGATGAGAGGCTTATATATTATTTTAGAACTTCAAATGATGTTTGGAAGAAAAGGAATCACACTGGCCAACTGATGATGATCAAAACAACCATGATTCCTCAGCCTTTCAGCAAATGTGGCCAGTGTGAGTTTCTTTGCTTCGGAAAATATTAGCAAGTAACATGACAAAAAATAGTTGCATGCTTTATTGTGAGGATTTTTTTTTTTTATATGAGCTGTCAAAAAACGGACTTCAACAGTTCTATAAAAAAGATTATGCTCCTGAAGAAGGGCATAAAATAGACTTTGGTATCAACAAAGGAAAAATGTCATTAGAACTGTACAATTCATTTCAGAACCTTAGACCGTATGAAGGCCAGAGAATGCATCTACCAAAACATAGTGATTACAACAACATAGATAAAAACCTCTGTCCTAAATAATTTGTGAAATTTTTCATTTTGCAATGGTGGTCATCATGTACAAGGCCTGTAAGAGGCACATTTTATGTGGATATGTGGGGGAAGATAATGGTTGACCTTAGACTTGAACAGGTTAAGATCCTTGTGATTGGGGAAGCATCCTCTTGGTAATCAGATCCACAAAGCAGCAGTTCATGGGAAGAATGGAACTTGCAACTCACCAATGGAATACAAAGAGAATAAGTACAATGCTTAATTTCAGAACCTTACTCAGATCAAAACAACATAGATGTAAACCTTTAACCAAATAATTTGTGGAATGTTGAAGAGGTTTGTTGTTTTTTTTTTGTTTTGTTTTTTTTATTTCATACTCACAGGAATGTCTTCATTGGAATCAACAGCTCTCAACCCAAAATGTGCGGCTTCTTCTTTGACTTCTTTCATGAATAACTGACTTTTCTCTCCTCTCATGCTGCTCCGTCTCATAGAAGCGCTGCAAGACAGTCAAAGTAAAAAACAACTTATTGTAGGACTAATGCAAATAATTTTTTTTAATATTTCCCACAATCTGACACACATTGAAACCAAATAGATACTCTAAACTCCATTTTGTGTACACAAAATATAAAGTCCAACATAAAATTCATTTATTATGACAACCAAATTCAATGGAATCAAATGTAGAGAATGTAATAAATAATGAGCAATACCAAAACACACACAACCCCATCTTGAGCACGAAGATAAACTACATCTGTTCACTGGGTAAAATGATAAACTACATCCAACAGCAAGGCCTCTGATCAGGAGGTTTTGAGGAGCGTGGAACCACCTCTTAATTGCTGGTGTTCCCAGGTCCACCCTGACTTGGGGTGGTAGCACCTGTTAGGGTACCAGCTATGGGTAAATAGTTAACCCCCAAAATGGAGTCAAAACACTATGAAAGTGTAAAAATAGGTTTTAATACCAGAAATACTTTGTAAAAAATTATTACCAGAAATATATTTTTGAAGAAAAATTATTAGAAGTAATACATTTTTGAAAAAAAAAAAAATAAAAAAAAAATTACCAGCAACAAAAATTTTGTTGGCATTAAAAAAAAAAATCATTGAGGTTGATATGCTGTAAAACAAACCAATCCAAATCAAGCCACACACAACCACATTTAATGATTTTCTAGCAGAGTGTTTTAGGAGCAAAAAGTGAATTCAGAAAAGATACCCAGCCACCGGATCTTAGAATAAACATATGAACATCATAGTATCCAACCCGTACCTCGGAGGGGGAAAAAAAAAATTTATATGTGTTGTTCTTGTCCTAAGTATTATCATTCATTACCAACCTTTGTGTGATTAGTCTATTTAGTAACCTTCCCTAGGTTACGACATTTACATTAACTTTTTCGGTAGGTTACTTACTATTTTCACCTGCCCATCTTGCCCTCATGAAGTCCTGTGAGTATCAAATTTTCCAAGCCCTTTTTCATCATTTTGTATCCCAGAAATTTGAATTGTCTTGTTCTAATTCTAAGTGTCTTTGTTGTTTCCATTTTTATTAAAACTTCCTCATTGTTCACATCCTCTTTTCATGGTATTCTCAGCATCCTTCTGTAGAGCCACATTACTGTTGCCTCAAGTCTCTTTTTTATCTGTGATGAGATTGTCCAGCATTCACTGCTATATAGGAGAATTTATATAGCTGTTCAACACTTGTTTCTGCTTTAACCATTGTGAACCTTGACAAGTCAACAATAGTTGCAAATACCCCCATGTTAGTGCTATAAAAAGTGTAATTGTGGCAGTCATTTTTAAAGCCAAGGCAATTTTACCAACTTGGCCACACTGACTTCAGAGAGATAATTCCATTAAATTACCTCACCATTGACCCATGGAAAATGCTGGGAAATCGAAAATTTTAAAATCCATATTGTTTTGCAAACTGTCTGAAACTGTTACAATCCTTTCTTTCTGGCCTCAACAGAGTTCAAAAACATTTGCACAGCCTTGTAGGTGATGAATTATTCCTCCCCATACAATTCCTCTCCTACAGACATAACATAGCAAACCTCTTGCTACTCTACTGTTATTTCCATAGAAAATGTTCTGATGAGCTGCATTCTCTAGTTCCATCAGTTCAGACTTTCACAGCTGAGGCCATGCCATGTACACAGAGGTGCACCATCCACATTCCCTTCTTCATATTCCATTTGTAAGCAGGAAGTTCCATTTAGACAGCTTCTTCTCATGAGCCACTACTTTGTTGAACAGACTCCCGAGGGGATACTTCCCTCAAACACTATAATCTTAACTGATTAAAGTGTAAGATCTACAGTCACCTATCATATGCATACTCAGAATCTGCACTTCTATATCCATGCAACAATCTCATTTAGTAATGTTCTACCTTGAGTGGCTATTGAGCCTTGTACTGAGTGAACATTTAGTGAAAAAAAAAAAAGAAAAAAGAAAAGAGTTTCAAGAATTAAATGGTGTTCGTTGGCTTTACAGGAGAATAGAAAAAAATGAAACTGAAAAGATCTCTTTTCAGGGCCAAAGTGAAATGAATGACAATCTTTCTATTTTGCCTGAATCCACTTTGAAAACGAATACTTCAAAAAGCAGGATTTCCACTTGCTACATTGTGGAACATGGCAGATGTAAAATAAAAGACATTTCTCACTTGGTCTTCTTCCAGTGAAATTATTCTTTTCATCTCCAGGAGGAAATAAGAAGCCAACAAAACCAATTAGTCCAAAACAAAATCTCTCATCTCCAGTTTTTTTTTTTTCTTCTCATTATTGGCAACATTCTTTGAATATTCTAACACAGACTTGAAAATCAGTTGACCATTTCCCAAGATAAAATAATGGAATATCTGTATATGCAATATAATTGGTTTCATTGATTTAGCCAAGAACTTTCTGTTGAAAAGGAAGTTGGTTACCAAAAGTCTGGATGGGACAGGCCAAAAAAAAAACAAATAAAAATAAAAAATAAAGAAGAAAAGAATCAAAATTAACCTGGAGTTTTCTTTTAGTTCAGAGAGGACCAGTAAACTAGTTTAGCTGCTTTTAATCACATGTTAATATTACCAATATTTGGTAATATTTATTTCTTGTTACCTCTCTTTTTTTGTTATGAATGTCTAATATATCTGCTTTTATTGCTCTGACAAATTTTCTGAGAAAACTAGACTAAAAAGAAAAAAACCTTCTGCCCTGAGGACTGCCAAGCTAAAAAGTTTTGTGTTCTATGTTTTAAGCAAAAAATATTTGGAAAATGCTGATCTAGCTAATGACATTTTGTTTTGTGTACTAAGTACAAGTTATCTCCCTTATAATATTCTGAAGCGTTTTTAGTGTTTCTGTTTTGTAAAGATTTTAATTAAATGCTGCTGTAACATTCATTCACAAATGATTGACTTGGAAATCTTAAGTAATTAATAAAAAATTTCTGCTTTTTTTTTAAATTACTTTCTATTGTATAAATTCTTTGTAAAATACATGTCTGGGAAAGAAATTATTTACAACTCTGGAAATATAAAGCCTCTTTATAAATACAGTCTTTGTTCAGACATTTTGTACTATATTCTCTGTCTTTTTATCTAGGCTTTATTGCCATTTCTGTGTGAAATTCTGGGATGTGGAATTATGATTATTTACATTAGGACTAATATCTCCATCCAAAGAAGTCCAGAAGGGACAACAACAAAAATGAGGACATTAGTCTGAATGTATATAATTTAAATTTATTAACTTTCTTTATATATATATTGTACAAAATGCTTTGTGGGACATTCAGAAACACAGTGATTCAGTCAAGTTTCTACACACAGATCCATTAATGATTCTTCCAGAATGTAGAAACTCTGCCATTGCTCTACAGTAAAAAAAAAAAAAAAAAATAGTTAGGAAACAATTTGAAAGAAGGCCTCAACTGTGAAGCATTTGGTGGGAAATAAACTTACTATCAACACCTTGTGAGATATATGAGCCAGTCATTTCTCTATCACAGGTGTTCTAATTATATATGCTAAACTATGCAAATGTGGTACCCTTGGGATCTGGCCACTGCTGGGCCACAGAAAATGCCAGATGACACAAATCACCCTTAATTCAAAACACTAAAACATAATCTTGCCAGCTTGTTCCACATATATATTATTGTGTTATCAAAAGTAGAACAAAGTTAAAAACAGGAAATAAAACAATCATTAATTCTTCCAAACAAGGTTTTTCTTGTTTCATGCAATACAAAGGCAAAAAAAAAAGAAAAAAAAAAGAAGCCTAAATCAAAAAATAATATCTACAGACAAACCTCTCAACTACAGACCCCCATCAATGGATTTTGGATGCAATGGACAAAATCTGCAGGCACAATAAAAAAAAAAAAATCTGCAGGAAAAAAAAAAAAACTTCAAAATCATCAGCAATATATTTCACAATTTGCAGGTTTAGTGGAACGACCTATATTAGTTCTCAAAGTGACCACTTGGTGGCGGCAGGCCTTTCAATTGTAAACAAAGATGGGTATACAGTGAATAAATTACGATACATAGTTGCACATGCATGAAAAAGTAGCTGTGAGAAATCTCTTATTTTTATTGTTTTGATTAATATATCCATATTAAGTATATCTTTATTTATGTCATATATACATGTTTATAGTATTTACATTATGATCATAACTACTGCTAGTTACTAGTGGTTTCATAACTCAACAATAATCCTTTCTCATCTATGGACAATCAGCTTTAATGGACCACTCCCCCCTCCCTAATTAGTCTGTGGATGAGAGATTTGACTGTATTTACTCTCCTGAATGGGAGTATATGAAAGAAATGAACAAGACCGTATCATCAAAACAAAAGGTTTTAAACAACGTGTGGCCCACATAGCCGCTCAACAGTCTAAATGGCAGATGATTAAAAAAAGAAGTACTGGAGTAGATATTTACTCAAACCCCCACGAGGTCAGGTTGTGACACAAGGTTGGTTTAAATGTGGGGAGCACGTGCACCGAGGCAACAAACAAAAATTTCCCGAGCACCCGCAAATGTTGGTTGTGCTGACTTCGGTGCATGCACCGATCCTTCTCTCTAAGAAGTACTGGAGTATGAGGGGTTGCCAGATGGATGGAGATATTAGTCCTAATGTAAATAATCATAATTCCACATCCCAGAATTTCACACAGAAATGGCAATAAAGCCTAGATAAAAAGACAGAGAATATAGTACAAAATGTCTGAACAAAGACTGTATTTATAAAGAGGCTTTATATTTCCAGAGTTGTAAATAATTTCTTTCCCAGACATGTATTTTACAAAGAATTTATACAATAGAAAGTGATTTTAAAAAAAAGTAGAAATTTTTTATTAATTATTTATGATTTCCAAGTCAGTCATTTGTGAATGAATTTTACTGCAGCGTTTAATTAAAATCTTTAAAAAAAAAAAAAAAAAAAAAAAACCATTAAAAATGCTTCAGAATATTATAA